TCTTCACTTCGCACTCTTCTTATGTTTGTTATTCCTTTTTTGGTCTCCCCGACGTCGTTCCTACGATTTAAATCCAATCATTTCAACAGGATAAACACCAGTGGTTAGCCTGTTAACGGCATGGGACGAGATACAGAAACAAGGGCTTAGAGAAACGCAGGGGACCTTACGAACAAAGAGAAGAATCAAAGCAATTTGGGAAACGAACACTGATATTGTGAAGTCGACATCCAGTCATTTAAAGGCATAGTTCACCAAAAATCAATATTCTGTCATCAATTACTCACCCTAATGTTGCTCCATACCTGTATGATTGATTTTTATTCATTGAAAAATAAAATAAATAAAATAAAATAAAATATAAAGTAAAATAAAAATAAATAAATAAAAATACAAATATCGTCTTTTGTGTTTCAAAGAGCAAAGTTATTTGGAACGACATGAGGTGAATAAATGATGACAATTTTAATTTGTGGGTAAATTATCGCTTTAAGACTTCAGGAAATTATATTGTTTATAATATGTATACATTAAATGCGAGATTAATGTAACATGAAAAATGTAACATGAAACAATACATTTGTACAGAAGCTTACTTCAGCCACAAAAATAAATAAATAAACAAAAACAACTGAGACTTTTTATCTCATAATTTGCTCACATAATTTGGACTTTTTCTCAGAATTGTAAGTTGTTATCTCACAATTCAGAGAGTTTATATCTCACAAATCATAGCTTTTATCTCACAACTCTACTTGTTTATTTTTCAGAATTGCAAGTTTATTTCTCACAATTTGGAGTTTCCCCCTTAGAATTGGGGGAAACATGTCAGATATGTAAGATAAAAAGTCAAAACTATTTTTTTTTTCCATGGTGAAAATAAGCTTCCATAAATTTTCGTCATCAAAAAAAAACAAAAAATCCACAATGCAATCAAATCAAATCCAGATGGATAAAAAAAAATCACCATTATTTCCTGCTGTCACATATTACACAAGTTAAATTCAATACTATTTTATGTCATCTTTAAAAGTTCAATAGTAAATGCAAGCAATCTCGGATGGATAATCTGTCAAAAACATCTATACAAAATTGCAAAAACTGTTTCCAAGCAGAATGCAAACAGAGAGAACAAAAATAGCCCCTAATTATTTGCTTTACTTATTCAATGTAAACAAAATTGGTATGTGCAGCCTACTTGTTTCCTAGGAAGTCAATTAATTCATAGCTCCAGTGTGAATATTCCATAAACTCAGATACACGGATAACAGCAGTAAGACTGGTGGGGAATTTAGTGTTTGAAGAGCTGGAGGAAAAACAGTTTTCAATGCCTCGCAGTCTGGTGATGAAAGCATTCATTTTGTAATCAGCCTCACTGAGACTTTGAGGAGTCTGTGTGTGTGTGTTTGTGAGGAAGCTTTGTTGAGCAGAAAGGAAATGGCCCTGTGTTTTTAAAGAGTGGAGATGAGTGACAGACAGACTCGTCTCTCAGGCCTCCAGCGACATTAAAACATGCAAACAAAAGTCCACGGTAAACACAGGGATTTAAAGCAGGGATTTTGAAGTGTAGCAGTTCATATATTAAAGGACACAGGGCTGTGATAACCCTGCCACTAAATGTATACACACAACAAGGCCGTAATCACGGAAACTATTGTGTACAGAATACCAGGAAGAAGAATAGAGATGGAGACAGACGGTCCCATGTGTGTGATTGTCTCCTCGATCCAGGACGTTTCAAATTGCTGTTATACACTATTGAAATAACACACACACACAGTTGGAGACAAACTCCTTAGACACAGACGGGGTCTATCCACCTGATGCCAGACTGTGGGCCTGTGTGTGTGTGTGTGTGTGTGTGTGTGTGTGTGTGTACAAGTAGAGAAAATGAGAGGAGAGACAAAGAACAGACAAAGCTCACTGCGGGAGAACTTCACACACACACACACACACACACACACACACACACACAAACATTAGCATGTAGCCTTCAAATATTGTTCAATTATGCAAACATTGTAGGGGTGTAACAATTCACTCAACTCACAATATGATTTTCTCACAATTTTTATAACAAAATTACCCCTTTTCCACCAGCATGAACCAGGTGCTAGTTCAGAGCCAGTGCTATTGCTGGTTCGGAGTTGGTTCGACTGGCAAGCCTTCTAAGAACCGGTTTACCTTTCTACTGGCTAGAGAGCCACCATAGAGCCAGGTCTTGCGTCATCTGAATACGTCTCAGTGCTGCCAGATTGAAAATGTCCAAGTATCATACCAGAAGCTCAAAAATATTGTATTTGGAAGAAAATTATCGTACACAAGTCAACCGTACAGAATACAGCTATTTATCTAAACCAACAAATTTTTGACATGACATGCAAATTACCACAACAGATAACTAGGCGTACCGTGTTTACATTGGACGCGAGCAGTGTGACAAAATAGTATAGACGCGATATACTATATCATGCGACACGACATGACACATCCTCGACAGTAAACTGATGCCTCGTTCTATTTATGACGTATTGAAATTATTTTTAACACTCGCTTTGTCGCGTCCAGTGTAGACAGACTTTAGCTGTTAACTCCACATCTGAGCCGCTGTCATCGGAAGCCTGCGTGTTGCCAGATGTTGAGGGGGTTCTTGCCGCCATGGACCGTAACATAGTGCTTTAAAGCAGGGCACCCTCCTGCATTCTTAACACACTCTGAGGTGTGCACGAGCGCATTTAGAGTGTCTGTAATGAGCCAATTTCGTGTATGAATATAGAAGCCCTATGACTACAACTACCATCATTTGAATTGTCATAAAATTATAAAATTATCGTACATTATTGGATTTTTTTCATTAGTGATCGTACATCGTACAGAGGTCAAAATTATCGTACAAATACGATAATTATTGTATGTCTGGCAACACTGATACGTCTCATTTCCCCTAGCAATGGTAGCGCGGCAGCGCCAAACACAACGGGCTTGTTCAGGATGCATCGGCGCCGGGCGGACCGATCGGCACGCGATACCGGGCTGGGGGCGGGATTACCGTGACCAACAAAATACTTTTAACCGCCATATTTGAAATAACAGCTAAGTGGCACCGGTGCGCCGCGGGAGCGACTGGAAGGCAGACGGCTCTTTATGCTTTTGGATTGTTCCCGCGGCGCATCGGTGCCACGCGCCGGCCGGACCATCCGAACAAGCCTAAACACCATCAACAATGGTGGACGTTGCGTTGCTATTGATCTTAATGGCTTTAAGAACCTACATCGGCATCCAAACACAGCGAATCCAACGTGTTCGTGTTTAGCTGTTATTTGAAATATGGCGGTTAAAAGTATTTTGTTGGTCACGGTAACCCCGCCCCCAGCCCCTGACACAAGCTGTTCTTACTTCTAGCCCAGCAATGTTTTGGTGCTACTTACGAACCATTTTTCCTGGTTCGGAGCTGGTGCTTTGGGTGTCGAAAGACAAAGAACCGTTTTGAATCTAGACTCTAGCTCCGAACCAGCACCCAAACTGCGTTGGTGGAAAAGGGGTAACAGAGGCCAGTGCTGGAAAAAGCTTTAGCTGTTGACATCTTGTCTTAAAGGGACAGTACGCTCAAAACAATAATAAATAAATAAATAAATACAATTCTGTCATCTCACACTTGTGTCATTCAGTCTAATTTTTACTTCTGTGAAACACATATGAGGAAATTTTAGAGTGTCTGAACATGTTTCCCATCGAAAAAAGGGCCATGTTCAACATACAAAAAAGTAGAAATGGTTTGCGTAGCATGTTTACTTAGACAACAGTTGAAGAATCAATTAAATGAACAGTAAAAAATACAATGCCTGCAGACATAAGGACTCTTATTTCATTTAACTGTATAAAAAAAGAACAACACTATAAAAATATAAGCATGTTAAGTTGAACTAACTGAACGAGAATTAGATCTGATAGCTACAGTATGGCGGAAAGCAAATTTTTCAACAAATTACTTCAATTCCAATATAAAAGCTACTGAAAATACTTTAAAAAGTAAAAAGACTTGAAATATAGTCCACAAATCACATGGACCATTTTTATTTCACTTTGTTCAATTTGTGAGCATGACTGCCCTATTCCCCATTCACTGTCATTGTATGGAAAAGAGCAGCCTGGACATTCTGCTATATATGTCATTTTTTTTCTTCACAGACGAAAGTAGCTCATGCAGTTTAGGAACAACATCATTTGTTAGACAAAGCCCTATAAAAATACCATAAGCATGTTAAATTGTAACTGAATGCAAAAGCAAATTATGGCAGAGGGGAGGATTTTCAGCAAATAACAATCAATTTTAATTCAAAACCTATTGAATGGCTTTAGGAGACTTGAAATATAGCTCACAAATTATATGGAACATTTTATGCCACTTTTTTTTTTTTTTTTGGTCAATTAGCAAGCTTGACAGTCCCAGTCCCCATTCACTGTCAGTGTATGTAAAAAAGTATGTAGCATTCTGCTACTTATGTCTTTTTGGGTTCAGTAAGCCTAGACATTACAAAACAAAATAATTTCTTTCACAGAAGAAAGTAAGTCAGACAGGTTTGGAACAACATGAGGGTGAGTACATGCATTTTTGGGTGAACCGGCCCCCTTAAATCCACTGAAGTTCACACTCACAATAACAGCCACAGCGATTAACAGCACCTGTTCAAGTCCCTGTCTATTCAACTGCTGTACAAGCAATATCTGGTTTCCCCAGAGCCTAATCAAACAAGATTTGCTTTGGGACAGTGTGTGTCGAGTGTGTGTTTGTGTGTTTAAACTCACAGCACACATCAAACAAATTAACTCAACTGAATATTGCTGTAAAAGTATGTAGGTCAGAAGAAAGAAAGATGCCACTTTAGGGAACCGGCATAGCGCTCAACACACACACACACACACACACACACAGTTGCCTGGCAGCCACCTCTGGGGCCTAATAAAACAAACTGCAGTGATGGAGTGGTAATGAGAGCGAAGAGAGAGTGATGTGACAGCCTGCAAAAAGATACGGAAGTGTTTCTACACGGCACAACGCAATTCAGTCGACATATCTGCACATAATGTCTCCGATGCTTTTCAGCGCACTTTGAGATATTAAAGGACAGGTAGAGCATTCACACAAATAAAGATATAGGCCCTGTCCTAAACGTGGTCTGTAAATATCTTGTTTCACTACCATAGTGTATTCATATACCAGTCAGTATGATGGTAAAGTACCACAGAGACATGTTCTGCTTAACAGGGGCTCATTTTTGCTGCTCCACAGAATATTAAAGGGTTAGTTCACCCAAAAATGAAAATTCTGTCATTAATTACTCACCCTCGTGTTGTTCGAAACCCGTAAGACCTTCGTTCATCTTCGGAACACAATTTAAGATATTTTTGATGAAATCTGTTGGCTCTCTGACCCTCCCGTAGACAGCAAGGTAACTACCACGTTCAAGGTCCAGAAAAGTACCAAGATGATCGACAAAGTAGTCCGTGTGACATCAGTGGTTCAACTGTAAAGTTACGACGTCATGATATTGTCGTGAACGCGCGTCCACAAGTGACACAGTAGAGACGAAAATGTGGAATAAAGTCGTTATTTTTGTTTTCTTTGCGCAAAAAAAGTATTCTCGTAGCTTCGTAACTTTACAGTTGAACCACTGATGTCAAAATATCTTAAATTGTGATGATGAACGAAGGTCTTACGGGTTTCGAACAACACGAGGGTGAGTGATTAATGACAGAATTTTCATTTTTGGGCGAATTAACCCTTTAAGTGTCTTTGTGTGTGTTTATTTGGCTGGTCGGGAGCATTTGCTTAAGTAGACGCTAGGGCTGCACGATTAATCGCATGCGATATTTAACGCGCATCTTATCAGTAAAGCCGGTTCTGTATTTAAGGGGATAATTCATATTTATTGAAATTGGGAATATTTTCAGCAAATAACTTAAATTTTCACAAGTAAAATGCTTTTAAATGGATTCAGGAGACTTGCATTTTGCTTCAAGTGCACTGCTTTATACTTTTAAGGAGATTTTTTATTTTTATTTTTGCAGCTGTGGTCATCATTAAATTTCATTGTATGGACAAAGAGTTGCTTGGAAATTCAGTTAAATAACTCTATTTTGCTGACTTAAAGTTAAAAGGTCATAGACGTTTTGAGTAACATAGGCTTGCGAGTAGAAATTTTGGGTAATTTTAATTTTCGTGTGAACTGTCCCTTTAAACTGAATTGGTAAGGTAAAAAAAGAGAAATGCAGGTAGGAAGCCATATTATGAGAGACAAAGAGAGAGAGAGAGAGAGAGAGAGAGAGAGAGAGAGAGAGAACGGCCAGCAGAACAGGGCGAGTGTAACCCTTTATGCCTCTAGGGCTTTGACCTGCCCCAATTAGACATAAAGTGACAGTGTGTCTGTGTGCCCCTGACACAACTGGACCGGTCTGAATGCTAACGGCTCCAGGACCCCCGAATCCCCCTGTCCCTCCTTGCTTCTCCCCTCATTCTCCAGCAATAACCCATCATGTAAAGGGGGGCATTTGACTCTGACAGCACTGTCATGGCCGGCCAATTCTCTGACATTTGAGACTGTCAAGAGTTGCCACGGGGCCAGCAGAACAGGGCGAGTGTAACCCTTTATGCCTCTAGGGCTTTGACCTGCCCCAATTAGACATAAAGTGACAGTGTGTCTGTGTGCCCCTGACACAACTGGACCGGTCTGAATGCTAACGGCTCCAGGACCCCCGAATCCCCCTGTCCCTCCTTGCTTCTCCCCTCATTCTCCAGCAATAACCCATCATGTAAAGGGGGGCATTTGACTCTGACAGCACTGTCATGGCCGGCCAATTCTCTGACATTTGAGCCTGTCAAGAGTTGCCACGGTGACCTGGCAAATCCATTGACCTCTTTTGGCCCCATGTGGATGGGGGACTTTGGTGTGGCGGGGCAAGATGTGTGTGGGGTTCTTGTCCCAGTCCATAGAGAGGGGGTCACAGTGGGGCACAAGTTCATTTCCAGTTGTCATAAGCTCTTAGGTCTGTTTATACGGGGCTAGACAAACATGTGGGGGATGAAAAATAAAGAAATGTGAAGAGCGAAGGACAGAGAGCGGGATGAAGAAGTGTGAGGCGAGTTGTGGTGGGCACCAGGATGCCAGCTGTCAGGACACGAGTCTGCTGCATCCATTAACAATATGGAGACGCTCACTGGTGTCAAAGACACACACACACACACACACGTGCATCTATACACATACAAACTCAGCCCAATGCATACTTAACGCATAACAAGTTTCTTCAGAAGATTAAATGAGATAATTTTAATTCAGAAGCAAAACTGGGTAAGATAATATTTACTTTATCTTATAATAAGCATAACCTCAACAAACTGTTTGAATTATTGTTAAAAATGTGCATACTGTACAAATATATATATTAGTGCTGTCATCGCGATTAATTGCATCCAAAATAAAAGTTTTTGTTTGCATAATTGAAGGGGGTCTGAATACTTTCCGTACCCAGTGTATATATATACACATACATACATACATACATATATTTATCTTGCATTAAGGATGTTTAGATATTTTTACTGGAGAACAAGTCAAAAACATTGATGAAGACACATTTTCAATACACTTGTATAGAATACAAAGGAAACACATAGGTGTCTCTCTTGCTCTAACTCCATTTCCTGTTCATGGCACCGCTCAGGACCTGAGAACAGCCGGCTGGAAACAGGCACCACCGCTGTCAGGTTCAGAAACATCAGACCTCACTTATCCATCCTGACAGATTACTCTCAACTGAATGGATGCCTGCAATAAAATCACGCCTCTGAGCCTCATTCTGATTCGTGCCCTCACCTGTCAATCCTCAATATACCAGCTTAATGTATAGGGATAATGATCCTTAATGTTTCTTAAGTGTGTAAACACTGTAATGCTATCGATTTACTTTGTTAGAGTGACCTGAAATAGAAGTTTAGGGCAGGACTATCTGTTTGTCCAAATAATGAAAACCAGGTGCGTGTTTGAGAGTCATTATTTTTCCAATTTCATTTAACGCTGCTAGTGGTGCAGAAATGACACACTGCATATTCAATTCAAACATTAAATTGAAATTCGAAAGTTCTAGTAGATAACAAATGGAGGAACTATGGATAAAGCAGGTTCATGATAATCAAATACTTTGGACTCAGCAGTCCGCCTGCGATGTTGAGTTATTTGCAGATTGCTTACACTTATCCGGCACTTTCTGCCCAGCGTGAGGTTTCTGCGGAGAGGCAGTGGGGGATCAGGTTCCGTACCGGGCCAACGTCTGTCACTCCGGGCTGGCCGGCTCCACTTCCCTGATCCAAGAAGATTCACCCAAGCAGCAGGTGGTTGGAGTATCATCTCTCCTAGCAGCTGAGACCCAAAGAATCGCTGCCACTTTGGGATGGAGCGATGACAGGAGAGAATGATGGAGGGAAGGGAGGTGGAGACTGCAGCACAGCAGGGGGCAGGGCTCAGCCAGCTTGATGGCTGCCAGTCAAAGAAAGTTAATGACAGCACAATGCTGGCACCACCCCCTCTTCACGTTTCCTCCGAACTGCCTGCCGGGCCTCTGAAAGAGGCGTCTGATCCTGGAAAGAGGAGTGTTGAGAGGAAAAAGGGGGATGTCGGAGTGTGGATTTTGCCTGAGGTGTGTGGACTGGGAATATTTATGATAATCAACACCCGGGTTGGCACCGTCGGGCGAGCTGGAGATTCACATCCCCCACCATCACATCCTTAATCGAGTCAAGTGACTTATTAAAGCGTATGGGCAACGTGGGGCTAATTTCATTAGCTGCCTGCCGAGGCCCTCGTATCTGATTTGTGTGCGCCTTTAGGGGGAGGGGTCGGGTTCAAAGATTGAGGAGGAATGGTTATCATCTGTGGACCGTTAGACACACGGCAATCAGAGGAGGAGGCGGCGAAGGGAGGGATGACAGAAAAGGAGGGTGTACAGGATGGTTTTGGGTTTTGGTGATTAGAACAGATTGTCAAATACTTCTAGGGATATTGAAATATTAGCCAATGTAATATTTTACATTTATGTATGGGGAAAATTATTTTAGTCAAAGTGACTTACAGTACATTGCACTCAAGATATACATTTTATCAGTTCATTCACTCCCTGGAATTTGAACCCATGACTTAGGAGGTGCAAGTACTATGCAAGATTTTCATCAACATCATGCATCGGCACGTAAAATTGCATGAATGAAAAAAATACATTATATATAGAAGCAGTCATTTTTCAGTTATTTATCAGAAAAAGCCATGGGTTAAACTGACAAAATCCTTAACTTAAATGCAGCACAAGTTAGTTTGGACAAAGCATCTGCCAAATTCAAACATATAACAAAAACAAACCGAACACAAAACAAAACAAAACAAAACAAAACAAAACAAAACAAAACAAAACAAAACAAAACAAAACAAAACAAAACAAAACAAAACAAAACAAAACAAAACAAAACAAAACAAAACAAAACAAAACAAAACAAAACAAAACAAAACAAAACAAAACAAAACAAAACAAAACAAAACAAAACAAAACAAAACAAAACAAAACAAAACAAAACAAAACAAAACAAAACAAAACAAAACAAAACAAAACAAAACAAAACAAAACAAAACAAAACAAAACAAAACAAAACAAAACAAAACGATCTGCTATCTGTTTTGGCCAAAATTGATCAGAGCTTCCCTAGTATCAACCGATTTCCTAACACGAAAGCTGCTTGAGGTTTCCAAAACCTGAATTCCACTGTATCACCCACAACCAGACCTGCACTGTCCCTCTAGTCTATTAGCCAAGGTTCAATACCAGGTCAATCAATGGCCCATCGGAGGTCATTTCCAGCAGATGACTTCCTATCTGCTACTGGTTTGAGAAGCTCCTGCTATCACGCCACCACACCGGCCTTTCCACAACTCCTCAATGACTGTCCATTCAGAGAGGGGCCAATCTGAAACCCGGCTTACCACACAACACATGCTTTACACTGCAGAGATAAGCATTGTGTTTGGGATTAAAGGCTCGGCTACAGGAAATCATTATCGGACTGTTCTCATTTCTCTCGTCCGGTTGAGAGAGTCCAAATACTACAGGGCCGTTCAATGTGATGTTATACAGCACTAAAGTGGACTTTAAGAACTGACACTTTATCCACCTGCTGGGTTTTGAATCACAGAATGCGACATGCTGCAGATTTCATTTTGCATAACGTTTGCGATTTGCTTTGCATAGAGTCTAAAGCTAAATTACAGTTTGAATACATCTGGGTGGTTGTCTCCAACTAACCTCACATCTATATGCAGAATTATAGGGTCCAAATGTGCTCTTTGTGCATATGTCGCTGCTGAAATTACAGATTCTATATGTTGGCACGTGTGAATCTCCAGTTGAATTACAGTGACTATGTGTGTGCAATTACTAGTACTAACGGAGCACTAATGTGCAGCATGCTTCCCTGCGGTGCTTGTTCTGTTATAAAGAGCCAAATCAAAATGTTCTCTTGGTAGAAAAAAATCTGCTAGGATTTGACGGCAAGGAAAAAAGAAAGAGTTTTAAAGTGTGCAATTAATGCATCAGCCTGGCACATATGGAGCAATTCGACTACTCGCACTGTGGGGGTTATGTTTTGCCTGAATCTCATTTAGGTCACCTGCATATTTAGACGACAGCAGGAATGTATAACCTCTAGAAACACAAATCTAAATAACCAGGCCTGTATTCACTATGTAAACATGCAGCTAGTGTCTAAATACAATGAAGATTTATGTAGATGAGAATCTGAATGTGTTCATTTTTCATAGTCTGCTAGAAATGCATAATTCATCCTCTCCTTACCCACACGCACTAGATATATGGACCCGGGAGCAGGAGACTATTAATGTTTCTTAAAGATCGAGGGAGTCAAATGCATCAGCTTGTCAATCACACACACACAAAATGCACTCACAAGGTGATCACTCACTGTCATCTGCTTTCATTTCCTGTGCAAGTCAGTAATCTGATATTAAACCATCCAAAGACATCCTCTCACACAAACACCACACCAGGATGAAACAGTGCTGATCTCAACAATAACAAAAACAAACGCCACAACTGAGCATTAAATAAATGCATTTAACCCTTGATAGCAATGTGGCAGACAAATTAAAGTGATTGATCTGGACCATTTACCAGCTTTCATCTTAGAACGTGGACTGCCAGGTGCTTTACAGTAGGACATAACAGATGAAATGTGGGTCCCGCCTCGTAACTGGCCGCTCTAGGCGCTAACGGCTGAATATTGGATACCCTGATCAGGTTAAAGCTATGAAAAATGTGACTGATTATTCTCATAAAGGTACAGCTTTGTAAAAAACCATGAGGAAAGAGCTCAGTTAAAAGTTTTCCAAGTGAAAATCTCATGGAGGTTTTCCATGAGGAAAACCTCCAGTGAAAATCCAAGAGAACAGATCTAGTGAAAATCATGAAGGAAAACCTCCAGTGAGAATCTTCTGTATATGGAAAGCCTTCAGTGAAAATCCACGAGAAAATAAAAATCATGAGGAAAGAAACTATGAGGAAAACCTCCAATGAAAAACCGTGAGGAAGGCCTCCAGTAAAAATTCATGAGAAAGTACCTATGTAAAACTAGGAAAAACCTCCAGTGAAAACTATATGGACAACCTACAGTGAACATCCACAAGAAAATACCTAATAAAATCATGAGGAAACCCTCCAGTAAGAAACTATAAGGAAAATCTCCAGTGAAACCCATTAGGAAAACCTCCAAAGAAAAGAGAAAAGACCTAATAAAATGAGGAAAACCTCCAATGAAAAAATCTTTAGGAAAACCTTCAATGAGCAAAGCATGAGGAAAACCTCCCTTAAATAACCTCGAAGAAACTGCTACTCAAAAATCCTGTAGAAAACCTCCAGTGAGAAACCAGGAGGAAATCCAAAATGAAACCCCAATGGACCTTCACATTGAAATTCACATTCATGCACACTTCAGATCCAAACACACACACATGACCTTATATAGGCACCGGTATGTACACACACAGATGTACATACGCCTCAAAATAATAGTTTTGCCCTGAACGGTGTAGAGCACAGGAGAGCAGCGAAGAACAGTCTGTAGATAAGACTCTATTTTGCATTTGAATGGAGCTGTTCTGATTTCTATGCACTTGGCCTTTAGCCACACTACTGTGTGTGTGTGTGTGTGTGTGTGTGTGTGTATGCATGCTCAACAGATCCATGTGTCCTTCTGCCTCTCGTTTTCAAGTTTATAAGTGCTGTGTGTGTGTGTATGCATGTCTATCAGTCCATCTGTTTGTCTCGCTGCCTCGCTAGTAAGAGCGATTTTACCAGTGCAAACAGATGAACTAAAGATCACGGTCTAAATAAACTCAATATTCACACATGCATGATGAGACAATCTGCATATCTTGGTAAAATAACAAGTGGGTAAAAACAATATTCAGACCATCCTTGAAGTTGCACATAACAGGTCATTAAAATTAAGTATTGTAATGCTATTGTAATTATAATGCTCAAAATAGGTCATTAAAATTAAGATCTCATGATAATGACTCATGATTAATATACGACTACTCATGTATACATTTTACATACATCAATAGACAGCAACTTGGCCTGCCCGGATTAATTATAATGTGGGGAGGTTTGCCAATAAAAACCAAAAAATCATTTACATATAAAATGTCTTAAAGAAACAGTAGCAAACTTATAGGATCAGAGAAAAGGTCAAAACTGGTCATGAATAACAAAATCAGGATAAAATTTAGTGCAAGAAGCCTTGAAAAATATGGACGTGTCCCAAATGTGCACTTAATGTGAAGCTACATTCCCAATGGTTGTCATCCATGAAGTCCATGAGATCATGAGATCATGGGGTGTCCCATTCATCATTTTAGTTTTCAGAAAGTTGCTCACAGGCTCACAAGCCTTGGATGAGGACCTGAAGGGCTGAAGATGCGTTTTGGAACAAATCTATGGAAAAAAGCCTTTAGATATATAGCAGATTGCAACAGTTCCGTCTACTTTTTTGGCACAATTTTCTGATTGGTGGAAATTTCTTTGCAGAATCATGGGTGATGTAGCTTTTCACCAGGAATTTTGCTATGAAATGCAATGATTTAAAAAAGAATACACACGGATGGCTCCAACAAAAGCATTGTTTAACAACCTTGGAGCTCACAGTAGGTCTCTCTTTAAAGGTTTATAATTCCTCTATGGAGAAAATAAATGGTATTTTTTACTTCCGGCACCCGACTGTTGCGCTATATAAGCTGCAAGTAAACAGGCAATTAAGACGAAACACAACTGATGAAGAAATAAATACGAGGGCAGAGGTCTTCACCACTGACAAATTTTCTCATTGACACCCTCCCGGGGCCGCATCGCAGACTGAGCGTCCAGAGGCCAACTCCAGCTGTTCTTTAGATCACACTCATAAACTCCCAAGCCTTGTGAAGGACCACACACTGCCTATCAATTTCAAACACCAGCAGGAAGGAGACAAGGGACAGGAGGGGGCTCGGATTTCATCCCCCCAACATACACTGCGGTACAGGAAGCTTAGGTTACCGTTCCCTCCTCCTCTCCGCAGCTGTCCGGGGCGGCAGTAGGAACTTGCGCTCCTGCAGCACTCCCAGAGTAACAAGAGTCAAACTCAATAACTGCACCGATAACACCACACGGTCACAACAGCATCGCACGCACTATTAGTCCTGCACAAGAAGGGGCGTTTGAGAGAAGGGTGCTAAAGTTGGCACAATCTAAATGCCAGTTTCGGAGACGACGGATACCTTCAGGCGGCCAGCTTGATTGAGTTGTGTTGTAGGTGACCAGAGTGCAAGGTTCAAAAACACACCATCCATCAGAGCGACGGGAAGCGTTCTCTGATGATGACACTCCACCGAAATTGCACTGCGGTTTGTACACGGTGTGTGTGTTCAAGCGCGAGAGTTTGCACCATCAGCACTCGGCACAACACTTTTTTTCTTTGAGAAAATAACAGATTGTTCACTTCAGCAGAGAGCTGAATCAATTTCCTCTGTCCTCAGTTAAGGGCAGAGCTGAATTTGCGCTCACACACACGCACACATACATATGATGGATTACAGGCCTTGGTGGGGGTCCCTGGAGGCTTTGCTTCAGGGGTTATGGGTAGACAGCGGTGGCACATTCGTAGGGTGAGGGGTATCTGCTCTTTGTAGAGAGCCGAACGCTAAGGAATTACGATGGAGGGGTCTGACAGGTCTTCACGGGTCATCGGATCCAATCCCATGCAGAAGACTGTCAGAATCCAGCCCTCTCATGGGAATCAACCTCATGGTTAGATGTTTTTGTTCTACCTGACGAGGAACTGCAGAGGAACCTCTAGTAGGTGAACGCCTGGCACAGTACAGGGATGCAAACATGCCTGCTGTGGTCTGGAAATGCAGATTGCGGTCAATAGTCTGGACTTTGATTGGATTTAAATGACCATTGGAATGATTCGCCATAGCTTCTGGCTCTTTTTGATGGCAGGCAATCACGTAATGGAGTTTTAAGTAGTTTAGAGTCATAGAGACCACACAGAATCAATGTAACACACATACACACACAGGGAGATTAGCAGAGATGCATGTACAAAAACACAGCAATAGTTAGCGAGAGAATAAGATAACAGAAACTCATTCTCAGTGCTTGGACTGTGAAAAAAAAATCTGCTTTATATATATATACTGTATATATATATATATATATATATATATATACATACATACATATGTTTCTACTGTGCCGTTCAGATAAAGTATAGGATCTGACTGGATACAGACATAACAAACTGAACAAAGCAGAAATATTTGTTTACTCAAAAAAGAAAAGAGACTAAATCCTGTTCTGCGTAAATCCATTCCGCTGTACATCTCTAAAAGCCACTGAGAGCAACTGTGCAGATTTCTGCTAAGAGTTGTCTGGCTTATTCTAATATATATTTTTAAAAAAGCTTAAAAAATAAAATTAAATAAAATACATTTTTTAAATAAAAAATGTAATAAAATATGATTATAACTTCAAAAAATGGTTAAATCCAAAATACCATTCTTGACCTATTTTCGGATTCGGTCTAGAAATCACATAAGCATACCAACAATGTCAGATAAACATTTACATCCTACAGACTAGTTGTGCTTCTTACTTTTGTTAAAACTCAAAACCAGTCAGAGATCCGGCCTGGCAGGTCATGCACATGCTCCAACATAACATTGACTAAAGCAGTAGCTTGAAACCATTTCAGGCCATTTGCCAACCCTTGTTCTTTTCCCCCATAATTTCTCTTCTATTCTGTCAAAAACTGAAGCAAAATCCCATAAAAAATGTAAAAACTTTATCACTCACAAGAGGACAGGAGTGAGCTTACAAAAGACAGTGAGAGAGAGAAAGAGAGAATGATAAAGGTCAGTGTGTGCGTGTATAAACTGTATGTGTGTGTATTTCTAGGGTTCCATGGGACCAATGATTTATCTCCTTTCCAGAGGGCTTCCTCCACATATACATACAATGAAGAATCGTTTAATATCATCTACACAGTTGACCGATTAGTCTCGCACACACTAAGATGTGACCATAAGATATGCATCCAAATCTGCATGGCTCCATCTCACCACAGCCGGCGTGTATGTGTGTGTAACGTAACATGCTGCTGATAAGGAGGCTGGTCTTTACGGTGTGGGCGCTGACTCCAGCACTGCAGATATACAACGCTGACACAT